TTTCTATTAGCACAACAAGATAAAATTTTTACAAATATCGTTTAAATTTTGTTTTTTAACTCGTAGAATGCATAGTTCGCCGGAACTATTGTTAAAATCTATCAGGAACTCTAGATCTCGTCGAAATCTATCGAAATACATGAATAAAAAATTTTTTTTGCATAAGTGTCGTGCTACGGGAAGTTAGCACGACATTTTTAAAAATTCGTTTTTTGACCTTAAATTGACAGAACTATTTGCGAAACCTATCAGGAACTCTAGAACTCTTAAAAGTGCTACTAGAACTCATATGTTTTTTTTGAAAATCGAAAAAAAGCCGTGCCAACTTCACAGAGTCCCGTTTCGTGTCATCTTCCTTAGCAAGGGTTTCATCACGAGACCGATCCTTGTACAGAATTGCACGTGCAACTTCGTAATGAGCCGTAATAAGAATCAGCCATCCATAGAGCTGTAGCCGATTAAATCTCGTTAGAGTTTATTACAGTTCGCGAGAGAACTACCGACATTATTATCGCGAGAAGCAGAGGATGATACGTATATTATTTAATTCATATATATATATATATCGATCCACCATTATACATATCGCGTGTTCTTATTAATTAATCCCCATCGTGAAAGATACATCGTGTAGCAATAATTGAAAAAGTTTTGTGATTGGTATTATCAATACGCGCAATTAACTTCCAGACGCGCAGGCACAAACGGAATAGAGACAGCGCAGCAGTCACAACTCTGGAAACGGTGATTAGACAAGGCAATCCTAAGCTTTAAGAGCTTTTTCTTCTGCGATTACGTAATAAAGGATGGGCCATAACACGGAAGAGGCCGTGTATATACAAGTCGACTGGTTGTCGCGGTTACGTAGAGTCGTCCTAAATCGATAGAGCCAGAAGCAAGAGCACAGCCGGCTGGGACACACGTACTATCGTACATCGTACACATGTAAACTTGGACTCTGCTTTTCCACGTGTATATTTTTCTCCACGTGTCCACGTCCGGTTATACGCGGCCTTCTTTTCATATTCTCTACTCCAACATTCGCGTACTTTAATATGTCCTCTTATCTTCTCTTATTTCGCTAGTTCGAGTTTACTAGGTTCATTATGATGTTTTCATAGCAATTAAAATTGGATAGCCAAATATGTACATGTATCATCAAAAATATAAATAAATGAAATTAAAACTCTGTTATCTCGATTACGGTTAATCACGATTGCGTGTCAAACATTTTCTCTTCGTGTAATAATAATAATATGATAGATTATTAAATAAATCAAAATTGCCAGATATTTCAAAATTTGACGTGCACATTTTGTTGCTTTGACATTTGTTATTCATACATATTTATATTGAATTTTTAAATTAAAATCTGAATAACAAATATTGAAACAAGAATAAATATGTAGAATATATATGTAGAATATAAAAATCAAATACATATATAAGAAATATTTTCGATCACAAAATATACAGAATTAGTTTCTCGCTATTGCGTAATTATAGCATGTATCATTACAGCTTTGTGCTTGGGATTGAGCAGCACGAATAATTCGAGGCTGTAAATGCATACTTACAAAAGTAACGTTTACGTCAAAGCTGAATACGCAACGCAACCGCACGAGACAAACACGAACCGCGGGCTCAAATATATATAATCACGGTCAAATATTACGTACATTTGGTGCGGAAACGAGCATATAGCTATCTCTTTATGTACTCGATTCTTTCTAATTTAAATACGTGATAGCGTGCGCGCAATCGAACTACAGCGCCGTGTGTGACGTAAGCTAACCTTCTCATTTAAATACATGTTACCAACTTCGATCATCTCTCTCTCTGTAGCCATTTCTACCGTCAGATATCGTTGTACATTGATACGATATAACGCGCGATGACTATATAAACGAACTACGTGACTATACACAGATAGACCTCGTTCTGACACTTAACACAAGCATGCGACGGCTGATAAGACTTTCTTATGCGCGTTTTCCAGTATAATAATATCCAAATATAAATTTGCTCGACAGTCGCAATGCATATGTTACGAAAAAAATCCAATTCCAACACAGCTCTGAGGATGGCTAAATTTACGTCTTAAACGAAAGAGATTGCTTGCACAATATATTTTACACATAGTGTATATAAAAAACTTTTTTTTCTTGATAATAGAACGACTGATTTTAGACTAATAATATGCATAATAAATCTAGTCTATATCTTTTAAATATACGTATAATAAATTTTTAATTAAAACGTATATTCTAAAGATATAGACTATATTTATTATGTATTTCTTTATTTCAATTTTATTTAAAAAAATAAAATTGATTTTATTTCTGAACTATTATATGATCCTCGTTTCATGTGGGTTTACAATGCGAAATCAAAACTGTATTCAATTTTGTCTTTTAATTAATTCATGATTTCTCGGGATTCTCTCTACTATTGAATATTTAATAATTTGCACAAAGACCGAAGTGATAGACTAGTTAAATAAATGCGCGTTTGCGAGATAATCGCAAATAACGGCGTAAATTCACCAAAAGCGAAATGTGAAAATAGAGTTCCCTGTATCACCAATGCTGCATCAGCTGTTTGCAAAACGATAGTTTACCGTGGATACATCAAAGCAACGTCGAAAGTAGACGAGTAAAGAGACAAATGGATTTGGTCCTTTGATACGTATAACGCCCGAGGAAATTTGCATAAGCAATGACAAAAATGGAAGTCTCTCTATTTATGTTCACTATTTTGGATGAAAATCTTAAATGTCTTGTCTTGTAAAATTTTTAAATATTTTTAAATTATGGATATATTGCAAGAAAAGAAGTGTATTTTACTATAAATCTCATTTAAAATAAGTCATTTAGCATATAAATCTTATTCAAATATCGTTTTTAATTTAATATTTAATTGCTTTCGTGAATAATGTTATAAAATTTCCCGTCAAGTTTATTGGTAGTATGAGAAAATTTTACGAAAAAAATTCTACAAACTTTAGATTCAAAAAACTTTTACTATTTATTTTATTATTTATTATTTTTTTATAATTATTTTTCCAAGGCCACATTATATAATATGTGAAATTAAAATATGATATGATATGATAGATGGTTTATACAAAAGAACAAATAAAATATTCTTCAAAAACAGATAGATTAAAAGTGCAATCAATATCGTTTCTTAGCTGGAAAGCTAGAAGAATAAATATATCTCGAAAAGTAAGTTAAAACTACGACCTCAAATGTTTCTCTACGACACTTAGAAATCAAAGAATAACTAACGGTTATATGTATAAATGTGACTCGAAAGTAGGACAGCCATTGTGATTCCGGTTTGAAGATAAATATACGAATTATATGCTTATCGTCCACCAACGTACATATATATTTCGCTCTCTCTCTCTCTCTCTATTTTCAAAAGCAAGAATAACCCAGCATTGTATAATGGTTCAATGCTGCACACTAATTAAAGCGTCAGAATTATTAAAGAAAATATTAGAAACAGTACGATACATTTTCTTAATCCTTAATAATTTTATAATTCGTCTCAATATTCCAACTAGTGTAACAATATCTTTTGCAAAAAATAAAAATTTACGCAATTTATTTTATCAATATAATTTTTATGACAGCCATTGCATTGGATATTTCAAAAACGCTAATTTTATTACAATTATTTATGCTACTGTTGTTAATCTCATAAAAAAATAAAATTAAGTTAAATATTCATTGAAATGATGTATGTGTGACTTGACATGTAATGATCCTCTTTATTCTCTATTAATTCGCACAATATTTTTTTCATTGTTTTATTAAACGTTTCGCTATATTATTATGCGATTAATAACTTCCGAGAATGCAATTTTTTGCACGCGCTACTTGAAGTCGGTAAATGTAAATATTAATCCCGAAATAATTATCGCCCACGAAGGAGGCGATATACATCGTAATCTTGTATTACGAACGCGATGTGAGATAGGATTGTGCATCCAGTGATAGGAGCACGTTGGAAATAGCCAGAATACAATTGCGTCGTGTAATGCTTCTCACAATCAGAGCATTCGAGAGGATCATGTAACATGTAAGGATAGCGATCCTCAGGCACTCCGGCGGGTTACGCAATGCATACAGATGAAATAGAGCAGCTTATTCAATTTAACAGTTTTATTACGCACTCGGCATCAATTTCTCACTTAGATATCAACGCGAAGTATTTGCAATAAAACTCGGAAAACGTGAATGCGAACGAAAGAATGGATGGAACGATTAAAATCGAAATGTATTTTTACTCCAATCTCGCGCAGATCTCCCATTTTCTTAATGTGCATATAATTTGCATTTATTTAAAAACGAGAGAGAAATAACTGCGACGTTACATTTTATAATTTTCACAAAGCAGCGAAAGCAGCCTTGCTTTTCGCTGGAAATTTGCCAAGTTTGCAAATTGTGACAGTATCCGTCTAACTGTCGCATTATGCAAGCGAGAAAGGCAAGAAAGCAGTAAACTTCTCTCAAGATATAACTTTCATGACGTCGATATGACTGATATATCAAAAACAATAACGCGTTATCTTCCCGACGCGTTGAACTACTTCCTTCCAAAACACCTGCGACATCGCCTATCATAATCAACTGTTTATCCTGCTTGAAAAGTCAATAACCATGTATTTTCAGCCTTCATAATATCCGATATAGAAGCGTAACGTGAAATTCCTGAATTACTGCACTGTAATTATTATTCCGTACCCGTAATCTGAGTCCATCAACTCTCATAGTATAAGATGCTCTTTAAAATTTGTGTGGTATTATTTAATCAAGTACACTATTTAAATATACATAATATTACAGAGCATTTAATAAGCATTTCCCATTTTACTCTATATATGTTAAATATATTTTATTATATTATCAACATTAATGAATTTGTTTCTCGCATTTAAAACCCTTTGATAATTGAAATCTTAACGCACGTCTATTTTTGCTTTTTTTCAGAAACAAACGTCCTTACAGAAATTATCGACGATAGAGTCTAAATACGAACTTGACACGAAGAATTCAAAGAGCTAATCCCGCGAAGCAACAATTTTATTGCGCGAAAAATAAATCGAGATAAAATCATTCGGTAATTAGTCGCGGAAAGAATTGCTCGATTACATTTAAGTTCGAAGAGGAACGTTAATTATAATCCGTGTCAAGATTGTGCGCTAGTAAGTGTGATAAGTGTTCGCAACGAATCGACGAGTGTCTGCGAAATAAACATTTGACAACGAGTAAAATAATCAAGTCGTCCAATCAAAATTAAGTGCAAAAAAACGAGAAAAAATGAAGCTTGGGCAATCACAGCCGACCAATCCCGTTAATGAGCGCTTAATGAGCACCGCGTGAAAATACGGAAGAAAGGACGCCTCTCGAAATGAAGATAGGAGATAATATGACCATGGAAGGTGAGTGAAAATGACTCACGCATTACTTCATTGATTAATCGATAGTGTTCATTTCGTCGGCATGCCTGACGAAGCATAATTTGTCAAAATAACATGCGATAGTTCAATGTTTTCTTAATGTAATAGGTATCTCTGATGTCTATCTCAAGATTTATCTAACTCATTGCATGTATAACAGATTAAATTGCTTTAACTTTCGAAATTTTTATTAACTTGGCACTCTCATTCTCATCACAAGAAATCAGATTTGGATGTATTAAGTAGTTTACTGTTAATTTGTTGCTTTCATTGTTCACGAAATAAATGTAAAAAATAATCAAAAATATATGCGTTATATGTTACAATAGTAATAACTATATTAATGCAGTTAATTATTCTTTCGACTTTGACATTAAAATGTTTCCCGAATTATTTTTGCTCTCGAGATACACCAGAAATAAACTCAAGCCTGCTATTTAATATTATACAATCGAGAGTACAACGAAAAATTATATATTCAAATTTCTCACGATAGGGATGTCAGATTAACAAAATTAATTTAAATAAATAAAGATAAGCCTCTATAGTTTCCGATAATTATTATAATTTACCAAAACATGTAAGAGCCAAATGAACTCAACTCCTCACACGTGGTTCAATGTACAATACGTCAATATAAATAAGTACTTATCACGCGAAAAGGATCGGATAACTCATTGCATGTTACGAATTCATGCTTAAATATCGTTAAAAATGTTGGGTCAACCTTCAAAGTTTTCATGGCTAAAGCTAAAGAGCATATGGAAGTGAAGGTTTAGACTTATTTTCCAGTTACTCCTGTCTAACCTTTAACGCCGCCTACGTGTTCCTTTTCGCGATTCGCGAGGTACGACGTGATGCTCGTCGAAACATGCTTCAACTCCTCGACGCGACATCAACTCAGACTCCCTCGATCCAAAACAGAAACCAACGAGATTGTGCAACATTTGTTAGGCATTAAACACATAGATGTAGAAAAGGTTACTGGAGTATACGAACCTAAGCCGGGTCTTAAGTAGCAAGACGAGCGATTAATTCTGAATTTGTATATATATATATAAATTCAGAATTAATCTCTTGTCTTGCTACTTAAATATATATATATATATATATATAGAGAGAGAGAGAGAGAGAGAGAGAGAATTCGAAATTTATATAATAACTAAGAAATTTATGAATTTTACATAAGGCTCCGATATTATATATATTTTATTCGTAAAATTCTTTCTTTCAAGGTCGTCAGAGTAAAATAAACCTGACGTGTTTAAGATTAACTTGAGCGATCTAAGACGACATCTTGAAGGACATCTTGTGCTACTATACTGCTACGAGCTCATTTATACTCAAGCTCGTCCTGAATATGTCATAGCGTGCTATAAGTCGTGAATATGAATAACGGCAATTTTATTTATCGAAAATATATGTAACCTCTCCTGTGAGATAATATTCATTCAAAGTTGACGAAGCGATATAATTGTTTAAATTTATATGGATATTAATCAATATTATTTGTGCAGAAATAACAATTACGCTTAATTGCATATGTAAATAGAATAATAACTGACATACACAAAATATATTTACAAATAAATTTTAAATCTTTGTTCATATTTTGGAATATTTATAATAATAGAATACAAATTTTTAAAATCTTTTAACGCGCGCTTTAAAGATTTAAGAGTTTTATTCAAATAATATTTAATCGATGTATATACACATGCAATTTTCTGTTAAACATTTATCATGTTTATAACATCCATATAATAATTGTTAAACTTCAAGAAAATTTACATTGTACATACAAGTTTCTTTAACACTATTTACAAGAGACCTACAAGTTTATATAAAATGTATGAGTCTTTCAAATAATTAATTTAAAAATCTTTTAACATCCCATAATAATTTTGCAACAAACATTGCAAACTACAATAAATATAAATAAATAAATAAAATCCACAATAAAAACAATTAATTTAATCGCTACAAAGCGAAGAGAAATGCATTCGATATACGAAGACAAAGCAATCGACGTGCTGTTATGAAAATATTCAGGTGCAATGTAAAAGCACATAAAAAGAACATACTTTATCAAATTGTGACGTGGTAGTAAGCTACAAATGGTAAATCATTTCTTATAAAATTTAAATTGCAAATATATTTTTCCATCAAAATAGCAAAATACAAATATGTGTATATCAAACTCTTTATTAAAAACGTTATTTTAAAAACATATCAAAATGTAATAAAAATAAATTTTTTTGCATATTGAAATTTCTTCAAAGATATACATAAATTTTTTTGTGTTAATCTTTCGTTAATGCAGTTTTATATATACTGTTGACAGTCAAGTACTAACAATAAGGCCAACAAACAATTAGAAGCATCGTCATCTCAAGTTATTCGGAACAATTTTTAACAAATATCAAATAATTTGGAGAAGATGGACATAATCATTGCCAGATCGAGGGACTTTCGTCAAATAACGATAAGTGGTTCGTTTGGAGCAATGTATAAGTGTCACTCCGAGTTTTTATTAATAATTCTAAAATATTTTATGAATAACCGGACGAATCATTCTGCTTCTAATTGGGTTCTTACTTTGTTGAACTATTTTAATGGTTTCAATTCATTGTAAATATATTTTGCGTTTTAACTATGACTTAACTATATAACTTATATTGACTATGTATTGCGGATTTTTTTATTAGAACTTTATGTATGTATTTATTTATTATGGGTATTTATTATCATTATTTTTTTGCGCACTGAAGAGGAGCAAGTAGAGCTCGAAACGTTTGTGTAATTATTATGTCAAATTAAGAATTTTCTTCTAAATAATAAAATAATTTCGTATTGCTCGTTACACATGGCCTTAATTTAATAATTTATCATTGTTTATATATATATATATATATATATATATATATATACATATATTTCTGTTCAATAAATATGAAATATGTATTTTATAAAACAAATTATGAAATATTTGTTATGTGCTTTCATATACATATGAACATTTTTTCGTAAGTTAAATATGTATAATTTATATAATTAAAGTTGTATGCTTAAAATGCAATATCCGTGTCGACTCCCTTGTGCTTCTGGAAAAGCTAAGTTACATTTCTTTCCATCAAGTTTTAACATCTTTCCGAAAGTAGCTAGTTTATAAAGAAAAAGAGAGAAATAGAGAGAAAAGGAGAGAGTTCAAAACTCAGTTGTGCTGATAAAACATTCACTGTGTAATGCTTCGTCTGACAACGTCTAGAGCATACTGTTTAATAGTTTTATCTTCGCGTTTGACTTATAAAAGTTTGGTGACCCTTATAGAAGTATACAGAAACGTTTAATCTTACCGCAAGTATGCGGTAGCCGAGACTGAAGAGCAGTTTAGTTTGCTCTTTTTCTTCAGCGTCAGAAGGAATTTCATTACAAGCTTTCAAACCTAGAAGATTGGAATGTACCCTTTTCTTAGAAAGAATAACTTTCTCCAATATTGGAACATTGTTAACACATTCTCTTTATTAGGCTAAAATTATAGGTTTTGATTTATCTTATTGCTTCTTTTAATTAATAATGCTAATGATTAATAATATTTGCATTTACTTTAAGCATAAAATATGCTGCAAAAATAATAATGATTCAATTTAATTATTTTAAAAAGATTTACAAACTGTTTATGTATTACACGAATTTCAGAGAGAAAAAATTATTTTTTTTTGTTTTGCATTTTTCAAACACTGGCAGCAAGTACTTTGAAAGAAACAAATTTTTAATGAAAACAATAGGCTCTATTTAAAATCACACATATTCTTTTAATCTAACAGATCAATGTAATCCTAAATATATAAATAAACGAGAATGTAATTTTATGAAATTTCTGGATTTTTGTTATTTTAATTTTTTCACGAAAAAATACCAATAAAAAATTGTACTCTTTTCAAATATATTTAATATAATTTTTAAATATTGTATATATACATATATTTTTTTAAATTAGTTTTTGGTGTGCGTTACATTAAAAATATAAGTCTCTAAATACTTATTTATTAATATTTTTCTTGTGGGATAAAGGTCTCTCCAAAGTTCAACAGGTGATAAAAATTATATCACATCTGAAGTATAGTTTGTATCGTAATTTAGCTTTTCTTCTCTCTTTTCTATTTTTTAAACTATATTGTAGAACATCTATGAATTTCATTATAAAACTTTCAGAGAGGTTTGACATTAAAGGGATTAATGAATAAAAATACCAAGGATTAATAAATAATAATCGAGTGAATAAAAGCATACGTGCCTGCATAATGAATTTTAACGTAATATCAATGTAGACACGCAATCGAAAGAATATAAAATTATAATATAAGAATATAAAATTACCACGCGCTTTGATTGTGTCCGCATTTGCATTTTTAGTTAAAAGGCGGCAATTTGCTATCGGAGAGTATCTCGCTTTTTCTCTGACGAAGTCTCAAGGTCTCATTACACTTAGGAGGATCTCCGAGGACGACGCAATTGCAGCGTCGCGCAAAAAGCATTCCCGCGAATCGTCTTGTATCGTAAACGGCAAACACTCCTCACTTCTCGGTCAACCTTCGTCGTTTCCCTCGCTATTGTAAATTTGCGTCGTCATTCCCCGATGTTCGTTCATACTGCGCTTTTCAAGGCTTTCCTTTTTCCTAGTTTACTTTGAACAGTACAGCGATATAATATGCGCGCAATATCGTTCAAATTACTGAAATATGAGGAGAAGCCTTAATTCTGTCTAGGTAGAATCTCATGAATCAAATAATTTGTTCATAATATAAAAAGGACTTTCCTGCGCCGCAAAATGATATAAAATGATTTCCATTGATGAACCCGAAAATAAATCACTCGCAGACGTCAAACGATGATGACCATCATTACTGAAATATGAAGAGAAGCCTTAATTCTGTCTAGGTAGAATCTCATGAATCAAAATAATTTGTTCATAATATAAA